CGAATGCTTTACGATAGTCAAACAGAATTGTCCTAATGGTTGAGCCATTTCCATCTGTTCCTAAAAACCATTGATGTAACATATTAATTAGCGCGATAGTAGTAGATGTATTCGGGATTGTTCCGTACTGGTTTGGGTCGATAACTTTTAAAATGGCAGGCTTCACGTAATCCTCAACCACAAACCCCTCCGCAACCTTGGATGCGCTAGGGGTTAACGAGATTGGTCTTAAATCTTTCTTTAGGTCCTTAACCGACTTCTTCTTGGGCAGTGGTGATACATCTGCCATCTTCCAGCATGCAGGCAATTGCTGTTCACGATATGAAGTATTAATAATATTCATAATTGGGAGAGCAACAATTCTGGAATAATCTCTTAAGAGCCAATTTGGAATGTTATCAGGACCAGACGATTTTCCAGGGTTGAGTTTTGCTAGGGCCTTCTCTACGCGCATTTCTGTCACAGTTAGGACCTCCGTTGATTCTTCCAAGTCGCGGCATGGTGGTGGAACGACCAATCTGTACTCCTCAATGGGCTCCAAGAAAGCCGTATTAATGATATTTGCCTGTTCACGTTGTGGAAAGTTAGAGAACTCGTCGATTTTTATTTGACTGGACAGATCGCTGTTCTTTTCTTTCATACCACTTAAACGTTTCGCTTCACTCCACCTTCTCTTAGGGTTCTCACCCTTAAGATTTTGTATGTTTAATTCATAATACTTCCCTCTGCATGCCTTTCTTTCACGGTTGACTAAATTCCTGTAGTATTTAAAATCAAGGGAACCGTTTCCATTCTTATTAAACGCCTTTTGTCTTTTGGCAATCAGGGTCTTTAATTTCTTATTCATCCATGGTGCATCAACAGTGCTGACCTCCATACGTTTTTCCGGCATTAATAAGTTAAGCCCATTGTGTATTACTTCATGGAAAACCAACCACTTTTCCTCACTACTATCCAAGGGAGAAAACAACTGTGACCAATCAAAGAGGCCCAAATATCTTCCCATTTCAGCTTTACGACTTGCCCGATAGTCCAGTCTTATTATTATTTTCTTATTGTTGCCTTTTGGCGCTATGACATTAGGCTCTGCGACAATAGTGTTATGGTCAGACAGACCGAAAGGTGCATATGCTTTCGGTGCACAAAAGTACATATGCATATTCGTCGACATGAGGTCTAAAATAGCATCTTTCCTCGTGTGTACGTGTACTTTTACTATTTGCTTAAGGCGAAAGTGATTTAATAATCGATTTATATTTAGGCGGTTAAAATCACCAGTAACTAATATACCACAGTTGGGGTATTTGGATTCGGCCATTGTGAGTGGGTTGAACAGATGGTCACAGATCGAACTTGCATTACCGCTGGGTGGGTGGGTGGTACATCAATCCTGCAATTATGCATGAGAAACCCCGAGGTAAGCGGTCAGGTCGTAAGTAAAGCCACAAGATCTCGTGATTCTCACAGCAATTTAATTCGTTCATTCGTCTGTAATTACATTTCTCAGTTCAAATATAAGCACATACACCACCATGATCATCATTTTTCCTATCTCTGCGAAATACAGTGTAACGAGGAATGTTAATTATGCTTTCTACAATTGACTCTTTTAACCATGTCTCGGTTATAAAAGCAAAATTAATGTCATTCCGAATTAGGAATTCTTGTACTTCGTCTAGTTTTGGAACTAAGGACCTCACATTAGTCACCATCACCTTGGGAACATGAGATGGATTATTTTGTGACAAGGCGTTAACACCTGTGTTATGCAGATTCTTATTGGGATAGATTTTAATGAGATTATTGTTATTCCGATTACGATTTCTTTTATGAAATGGACGGTGGGAGGTAATCTTACTATGATTACGTGATGAGATTACGTTATGAACATTTCGCGTATGATTACCCATTTGGGATTCTGGTATGGGGTTTGTGTATACGACGATTGGGGATTATTTTATTAGGTATATTAAAGGTGGCCTTGGCATTAATAGTAACGATGTTCGAACTTAAATTCTTGTCGATTGACTTAATTCTGTTTTCTGCGTTAATTTGTTTACAAGAATCTGGTAGTTTTCCCAGTCCGGCTGCCGATTTGAAGAGCAATTCTTCCGAAAATTTTCGGGTTATAGGCAGAGGTATCTATATGTGATATGGGTTGTGGTATATAATTGCATCGCTTCGATTTGATATGACTAGATCTGGTGTTTTTCCGGGTTCGGGTTGATTTCCTTGTAGGTTTTTGGTGTGTTATTCCAGAATTATTATGGACAACTATCATTCTGTCAGTGTGAGAGTTCTTAGTACGATATTCCTTCAATTGATCGTCGAACAATGGGAGCATAGTCGACGGATTATAATTTTGGTTAATGCCTGCAACGATCTCTTCGACTGTGGTGGAATTTCCATTTGGTGAGGATAAGCCGGCTTGTTGATCATCCGAAATGGATATGACATTGGGATAGGAATTCGATAGGGTGTTATCAAGGCTAAGAGCCTCTGATGTTATACTGGCTTCCTCAACTGTGACGAAAGATTCTATACATGATTCGGCCTGAAAGTTACAAACTGCAGAGGGATTTAGGATTTGATACAGCTGTTGTTGATTAGGTTCTGTTGCTGACGGGGTGATGTTAGTTTGGTCAATTGTTGAATTTGGCGATACGCTTGGTTGATATGAGTGATTAATAAAATTTGCATTACACAAGGCTATCATAGTTTTCAGCCCTTTGGATAGTGTTTCGATAGTATTGATAAGACTATTGTTCTCATTAGCGGTTCTAACAATACTTTCTGCAATATTATTGTTATTGGTGTTCTTGTTTTCGTTTGTGTGAACTAAACGATCGACCTGTTGAACAACTTCACCGAGCTGATATTTAGTAATGGCGAATTCTGCCTGAACTTGATTTGTTGCATCGCCATTGATTCGAATTTAGTTATCAATCTTGGACTCGGAAATCACCAAATCGAGTTTTAAGCCCTCGAATTCAGTCGACAAATCATTACACATGCTTGCACAACGCTTTCCGCTCTGGTTAGGATATTGAGTGAATTCGATGTCCGTTTGAATGCCCACTTCACATGTATTTACACAACAAAGATGATCGGTGGAACAGCGCTTGGCTGGAGTAGATTCGTAATAAAAATTTTTCATTAACGTGTTCATTTGTTTGAGGTCTGACTTTATTTCCATCATATCTAATGAGAAACGACTGCAAGCCATGCAATCTTTGTCACCTTCCGGATCGTTTAATTGATTGTATTCGTCAGGATCTCGGATCTTTTATTTACACTCAGATCAATTAGTTTGTTCTTTAGTACGATTCCTAGTCGATCATGGAAGATTAGTGCTTTCTTGTGTGTATACCAGTTAATAGATATTAAATCATTCCGATATGATTTAGCACCGCCACCGGGCGAACTCCACTTGCCGACATCGCCGAATAGCGCGGGCGTAAACGCTTTTAAATCATCTAAATTGCTCAGCCATTTCACCTTTCTATCGTTACTGCATTCTATAAACTTTTTAAACGTAAAGTAGGCCTCGGAGAGTTTATATTCGAGCTGTATTTGTTGAGATTCAACGCTGTTAGTTAAGTCATGACCGGTCGCCATTTTGAATTATATATATATTTATAATTATATAATTAATTATATAATTCTATTATATATTATTTGAGCCAAGTTTCCGTAACACATATTAAGTCGGAATCTATAGCAAATGTTTGAAGTTCGTTTGTCGTGTTAATCACACTTCGAGCATTTAGATATAAACATCTGATATTATGACGGTTGCCAATAGATTCAGCAGATTGTAATGGTCCAGGGTTAGGATGTATGCCGACTAAATCAATTTTTTCCAATAACCAACTCTCTTAATAACCAATTTTTCGTCTGAAGAACCCTCATCTGTGTTGACAAGATTTTACAAAGTTTGAACACTTTAGCCACAACCTGGCATCGCCAAAATCCCCAATACATCTATGATCACAACCAATTCCATCATTAAAGTAAGTCAATCTTTCTGAGTATATGAGGTACAAACTAAATGTCATGCACAATAAACAAAGTGAGCAGAGCTGAAATATGCAACGACGTACGCCATTATGGTGTTGGTAACCTGAAATATGCAACGACGTGTGAATATTTTTAAATTTAAAAATGAATAATTAAACTGTTTTTAAAAATAAAATTTTATGCATACAATTTAAAAAAGTTGCACACATTCATTTCACCAGTACACATGGATGTTATATGATGAAGTATATGAAAGGTGATGCTTTTGCTCTAGCTTATTGATGTATTAAAACAATCTAGAGGTATTACATAATTGGTAAACATCTCGATCCAATTGTAATCATTTGCATGATTTTCGGCAACAGATATGAATTCAATGAATAATTTATCTTCCTTAAGCGTCCATTTATGAAGTTTTACTGGGGATTTCTTTGGAGGAGTCGTTCAATCTTTCTGATAGGAAACTACAAAATGAACAGCAAAAGTGAGAGGGGCAATGTCAGTGCTAGCACAATTAGACAACAACAAAGAAACTCATGGATTTTTACCAGGATTGTGGGCATGCTTCTCCAGGAAATTTGTGTACTATAGGTTTTCTGGAATGCCCACCATTGAAAAATAATGTTGGCGTACAGGTGGATAGAAATTGTCCAACATTGTCATGAGTTTATTGATAGATGAAGAGGTATTCAATTGAAGGAACACATCTCTTATACAGGCTTGCAGAAATACTGTTTAAAGCCAATCTTAAAACAATTGCCCAATTTTTGATGCAGAAATCTGGCCAACTAAACATTGACTGGAGGGGTTGTAACCCCCAGCCTCGTATGCCTATGGACTGAAATTCTCCCAGGTAAAAAAACATTAAAATACATTGTTATAGCTAGTGTGAACACCAAACGTGATTGGCTGATTTGTAGTCACGTGGCTGTAGATAAATGCAATGTATCCCGCCCGGGCAATAAGTGAAAAATTGTTGCCCGCCCCGACCGGCTACGTACATAAATAAACAAAATGGCGGCACAAATTTATACTATTTAAACTACTGATTTCGTGGCTTTGAGTTAAAATAAAGGGTGTAAAAGAGAAGAAAAATACATAACAGGCAACACATAAATGTCCAATACTGACGATCGGTATCCGATCGACAAAGCAGTCTTACAGACGGTACGGATGGATCCACCGGACAATCTTGTTTACCGTCGGACAATATTTTACCGATGGCTGCCCAAGAGCAAATAAACGCCTGCTGCGCAGATCACTGCGTGAGTGTCTCGGGTGGCACTGCAAGTTCATTGTACGATGTGTGAATGTCGAATGGTCCGATCGATCGATCCGATCCATCGGACAAACGTTTTCGCGGTCCGACAATTATTTTACCGATGGCAAAAAGGGACGCCAAAGAAACAAGTATATGTTTCATATTCCCTTGTTCTTTACAATAATCTTCGTCTTTAAAAACATAATATTACATGCCAAACAACCTTAGTACATGAATTATAACATCAAACTGAATTATTATAATATATATGCCAATCAAGCTCAGAACACGAATGATTTTAAATACATGATGTTGCGTCGTTCTTTAGAAACCTCATCATGATATTACATGCCAAACAACCTTAGTACATGAATTATAACATCAAACTGAATTATTATAATTGCCAATCAAGCTCAGAACACGAATGATTTTAAATACATGATGTTCCGTCGTTCTTTAGAAACCTTATCATAATATTACATGCCAAACAAGCTTATAGTACATGAATTATAACATCAAACTGAATTATTATAATATATATTCCAATCAAGCTCAGAACACGAATGATTTTAAATACATGATGTTGCGTCGTTCTTTAGAAGCCTTATCATAATTTTACATGCCAAACAACCTTATAGTACATGAATTATAACATCAAACTGAATTATTATAATATATATTCCAATCAAGCTCAGAACACGAATGATTTTAAATACATGATGTTGCGTCGTTCTTTAGAAACCTTATCATAATTTTACATGCCAAACAACCTTAGTACATGAATTATAACATCAAACTGAATTATTATAATATATATTCCAATCAAGCTCAGAACACGAATGATTTTAAATACATGATGTTCCGTCGTTCTTTAGAAACCTTATCATAATTTTACATGCCAAACAACCTTAGTACATGAATTATAACATCAAACTGAATTATTATAATATATAGGCTATTCCAATGAAGCTCAGAACACGAATGATTTTAAATACATGATGTTCCTTCGTTCTTTAGAAACTTTATTATGATATTACATGCCAAACAACCTTAGTACATGAATTATAACATGAAACTGAATTTTTATAAGAAAATATGGAGATAGTGTAGCTAGGTTTACACATAACTAAAAGTAAACGTTGTCTGACTAAGATTTTTATTTAAACGACGTTTCGCGACTACCTAACTGTAGTCTTGGGCGGGTAAAGCGGAATGAATGAATTACAAGAGTGCATGTGTCAGGTGATATTATAACAATAAGTGATTGGTGTGATAATTATAGCGTCTAGCCATGACATTTTTTATTAACCACCATAGCACTGCATATTGTTTAGGAAGCGACTTACAATTATTTTCATAATTTATTATTATAGCAGTATGCCAAGATTCTAGTAATGTTTTACGTGTCCGATACTTGCCACTATCAATTACTTTCCCACTATGAAAATCAATTATAAGTAATTACACGATCCATATATTCATTTGTTATATAGTAGAGCATGAGATACTGAAAAATACACAGTGACATAATATATTTTCCATATCTTCACTAGTGAAGGTTTCGATCACGTGACTTTTGTATTTATGCTATTTCTTGCTTGATCATGACACTACAGAGTGTATAAAAAAAAAAGGAGACCTTTAGAAATCAAGCATATTGTTAAAATTTGAATGCCATTTCAATTGCACATATGCTGAACTGTGGTGCGTGAAATATTGATGGAGTGCATATATTAGAAAAAGGAGACCTTTAGAATTCAACCATTGTTATAATTTGAATCCTGGAGCACTTTGCTAAACACATAGCAGATTGATCCCAGGAGCAGACAATCTTTTGTTTAAACGTTATTTCAAATTCTAAAGGTCTCCTTTTTCTAATATATGCACCATCAATATTTCACGCACTACGGTTCAGCATATGTGCAATTGAAAAGGCATTCAAATTTTAACAATATGCTTGATTTCTAAAGGTCTTCTTTTTTTTTATACACCCTGTATATAATCAACAAGGGCCGGTTGTATAAAACTCCTAATCGCTTTTTTAATCACTATTTTGTAGTTAAATAGTGATTAGGGAGCTTTAGATTTGACTACGAGTACGACTACGAGTACGAGATTTGATCGAGTGCGAGGAAATTACCGTAGTCGTTTTCGTTTCCATTCAAATGTTGCTTTTATAACAGTAAACCAACAACGAGAGAAAAATTTTCATAAACTAAATTTCCTGCAGACTAAAATCTCCTACAAAACGTGTAAATAAGTCATAACATTAAAAATAGGCCAGATATTTAGTAGTAATATATTATTTGCGCCGGATAAACGCTATATAAATGCTACAAATTATTTTTGGAAAACAAAAAAAAGCCAACTTTCTTTGTTTTTTTGAAAAGTCGTCGTGAGGACTACGAGATTTCTGTACAATTTCGTACTCAGATGGGTGACGGCTACGACTTTTTCGCGTCAGTACGGGATGGCGTAAGCATACAGCATGCGTTTAGCTTGACGAATCTCGTACTCGTAGTCGTACTCGTAGTCAAATCTAAAGCTCCCTATTAACTCTCAAATACGCGCTTCTTATTGGATGACGTTTCCACTAACTATAGTTAACTTTAATCACTTTTGTATTCAACCGGCCCCAGAACTTACTGTCATTACACGGTGGCTTGAAGCTATGACTTTTATCTTCTCGTGTTAAAAACGGTATTTTACTCACTCGCTGCGCTGGTTTGTAAAATATTGTTTTCATCACTCCAAGGCAAAAATCATGTTGGCATATACGTCATAACTGGTGGTGTTACATCCTCGGCAAACGTTTTCCCTCACACCTAACAGGCTAACTAAATTTCCGGCCTTGTGATCTGAAACAATTGCAACGCCAATTTTGATTGACATATGTTCTTGAATTACACAGTATAATATGTGTATTAACTCTCAAATACGCGCTTTATTATTGGATGACGTTTCCACTAATCATAATTAACTTTAATCACTTTTTTATACAACCGGCCCCAGGTGATTAAGTCGACATAACACCTTTCTGTTGTCCTCTACTAACAGCTCAACTCTAGTTCACAAAATGCTAATATTCTATTGCGTATAACAATAGCCATTCTCCCC